CACACACACACACACACACACACACACACACACACACACACACACAGGGGTGAATCCATCACACACCAACAGGGGAAAATGTTTTTTTCACGCTAAGATCAATTGTTATCGTTTTCTAAGCGTTTCTAAGGAAACATGTTTTCATTTACATAGTTACATGAAAGATTTACAACAAATACACTTTGACCACTTTATCCTGAAATGATTTTAGCTAAATAGATCAGTAAATGTGTTTACTAAGCATGTCTTTACCTGCAGTAAATCTCAGGCTGCGTCTGAAAAACACGTCGAGGACACAAAGTCATCTCCTTTACTTTGGAAGGCCCCGAGCGTCTGCACTGATATATCGTCACAATGAGAGGAAAGAAATACAAAAATGTGGAACAAAAGCAAATGTGACGTCACTTCTGGCATGAAGGGATCACGGCGGGCGGGCGGGCGGGCCTACCAACTCTGGAAAACCTTCACAGGTCAGCCTTCCCTCACTCATCACCTCCAGTTTCAGCTCTAACGGCCAGCGTCACAGTGGCTACGTCCATCTTTATCCCAGTCTCCCGTCAGGGCGTCGTCTCCCGTCAGGGCGTCGTCTCCCAGGACTGCTGCCGTCTGTACAGGTCAAAAGTCGCGTGGGCGGGGCAAGCTGATGTGGAGAGCTTACGGCTGAACGGGACCTCCTCTGGTGAAAGGGGCTTTTGCCTGAGCAGGTCAGAGGTTATGAAAAACAGGGAGGAGGGTCCTTTAATGTTCCTCCTTCCGCGGCACTGGGAAGGTGGAGCTAGCAGCAGCTTATCTTGGAGCAACTGGGTTATCAGCTGATCCTCCTGCACATCCACGCTGACCAACGAAGTGAAGAGAACCTGAGAACGAGAGACGTTCACCTCTACAGAGGACATGAGCAGAGGGACACGAAAGACAGACAACAAAAAGGTGAGTAACAACTCACAGACTGCTGAAAACATTCCCTCCTGTTACTCCTGTCACTCACACCACGGACTATTAAACGCTCCACACTGCGGCCTTTTTCTCCTTTGATTATAACGCCATAACCAGGCGGCTGGCGTAGTATACGGAAACATGTGGGCCCAGTATGGCCTCGAGGTCAAAGTGGGAGACGCCCCCTAGAGTGGTGGAGAACGGCTGAAACTACTGAGAGTCATTCGGTCACTCGAGAGGGCGTCCGCAGACTGACTCTTTATTACTATTGTTACTGATTTCATCAGCTTTGCACCTGCAACATCAGAAGTCTACACACAGGATGAATGAGGTGCTTTTCATTCACAGCAGAGAAACAGCTGTTAGTGACCATTAAACAAGACAACATGGGATCTGTGTTACCTTCAGTAGCTCTAGCATTGATGCGATTCTTCGTGCTCTCTGACTTCTGTAGAGTTTGCTGAATTGCCCTCTGGGAGTCAAACTGAGCGTCCTGTAGGACAGCAGATACATGAGCATTAGCAGCTGTTAATCAGCTGAGTGACCACTGAATAAAACTGTGCACACCTGCAGTGACTGAAGCTGAGTCTTCAGAGCCAGGGTGGTGTTTAGCTCCGCCCTCTCCAGACAGCTCAGGTCATGAGTGGATGTTGGAGCAGGAGGTTCGACCACATGTCTGAGGCCTACAACAAGCAGCAGACAGGACAAGACTGAGTCATTCATCCAGTTTAGTAAACCAGTAAGGCCATGTTCCCCAACAAAACAAAAACGAGCTGTTGATATTTCAGGAAGCTGTACAGTTTTCACATAAAGGCTCTGTGGGGTCTCAAATACATACACACAGTCACTTAAACCTTTTAATAAGTGAATGAGGCGGAGCCTCGGTGCTTCCACAGACTGCTGGAATAAAAGCATCACTGTCCACTAGTGGTGCAACGGATCACGGTTGATCTGAAATCCGAACCCACTCCACGGTTCGGCACACACGTGAAAAAAGTATGTGCATGGTGGCATGGTGGGTCTGTCGAGCGGTAGCTATGCTCAGCGCTAGCGGTCCAAGTGGAGGAGCAGAGGAGTATTTAAGCAGCCCTTTGCTGCCCAGCCCGACGGCTAAAGCTGTTACAGAAGCTGCTGGGGTGTGTAGCTGCAGACGGGAGGCCGTATTCTGTCTGCAAAACAAGGGGTTTAATAGTCAACGTGTTAGTTGACGCATTGACGCCGTGCAGCCCCACACAGGGGGGATCCGCGGTAACTAGTTAACAGAGATTCACCGCGTTGATGCAGTTATGGCATTAACGTAATTTTAACAAGATTTACGCTGACAGCACCAGTTTGAACTGTGATGAACGTGCTATGACATCCCGTCGCGTGTCCACTTCAGTGAGAAGATCACTACAAGCATGTGTGAGCAGGAAAAGTTCAACGTTGTGGCTGAGCTGTCCCACGCATCTTCTGTTGCCCTAACTACGACCTCCAGAGCAACGGAAAGCCACGTGACCGCTCATTATATCACAGCGGTAGAGACAAAGCCCTGCACTGCATCTTAATTTGTTTTTATATAATTGTGTGGAATGAGCTGAATGTTTTTAACAGGCAAAAAGTACTTAAATAAGTTAATAAGTAAATGTTAAAATTTTCTGTGTTTTGCTGATCCGTGACTTAAAACCGTGATCCGATGTGCTTTACACCACTGCAGCTCACACTTCACATTGTGCTTGGTGATCAATGTTAAAGACACACAACAACACAAGCTTGTCTCACATGGTGCAGAGAAAACATAAAACGTAACACATGAATGAGCAGGTGTGGCTCAGTACTTCGTCCGTGCAGTTCATAATCTCAAACTGTAAAATACTGGCAGCCTCCTGCAGCAGAGGCACCTGTGGCATACATTTGAAAATCTCTGCCTTTGAATTTGAGGTTGAGATCAGTGAGATTCACACTCGTCCTAAAGTTTGAACAAATGCACGTATGGTAGGGCTGCACGATATTAGGAAAACCTGCGATGTGCGATAACTGTGATCAATACTGCGATAACGATATGACTTGCGATAAAATAAATAGCAAAACAAACAAAAAACGAATACATAATTTCCGTTTTACTGCAACAGTTTTATTTAATGAAAGCTGCTGTTAGCAGAGTAACAACAAAGTGCACTTTAACATTGAAACATTGCCCCCATAAAAGAATTCTGAGGCTTGAATCCTGAAAGACATCCTTCCTGGTCTCCAGAATTAGTTTTAAGTAAACATAACTTAAATTATACTGCAAATGATCTCAGTGCAGCTGTTCATCATTTTATCTCTCACCTAGTAGTTATGATGTAAGTCAGAACTGGAGAGGAAACTTTACTGTAGTGCTGGAGTAGCTTTCAGCTTGGCTCAGTTCAAACATGTTTCGAACATTTGTGGAATGGCGACATGGGAAAAGTCGTTTCGTGAGGGGATGCGGTATCTCCGGTCCACTTTATGTATCAGACTGGTGAATCAGAATCAGAATCAGAATCAGAATCAGAAAGGGGTTTATTGCCAAATGTTGAGCAGGTTTACAACATTAGGAAATTGCTGCGGTGCTTCAGTGCAAACATAGTGTCATAAAGATATAAAAATAAGAATAAGAATTAAAAGTGCTACGTAGAAAGATAT